GCGAACCGAGATATTAAGCATTAAAGTGAATTTATTTTTAAGTAATGAATTTCGTGGCTGTGACAGATTTCCTAACCTACATAGTTGTCAACTTTAACGCTTAATACCTCGGTTCGCGAGGCAGGGCGACACTTTTTTCTGCCAGATTCTTTCGTTTCATGCAAAAACGCATCAATTGTATATTTTTATTAAAAGTTGTGATGAAGGGGGTCTTTTTAACATTTACCTATTTTTACAATATATGTATCATAATTTAGAAACCATTTTCAATTACGATGCCGGCAAAGTGTGCCTTTCCAACTTGCAACAATACACAAAATATTGATAAGCTGAGTTTTTTTCAGTGTAAGAATTATTAGTTAACTTTAAAGAAGTGAGAAGTCTATTTACATTATGAAATTATCTAAACTGATAAACTAATCTGAAATACTAAAAATAAAGACTGATAAACTAAAAAGATTATTTTTTAGATTTCCATTAAATGAATCTAAAGTTTGTGCACAATGGGTAGCAGTTGTGAATAGAAAAAAATGGATACCAACAATGTCCAGTAAAAGTTGTGAAAAGCACTTCGACATCAGTGATTTCTATAATACAAAAAAGAAAAAAAGATTAAAGCCTGATGCAGTACCTAAGCATATTATAGCACCTGATAGAATAGAAGAAGTATTTGAACTAGATATATCTATAATATTGATATTACTTTCCATAATTGAAGTATAAGCTGGCACAAATTCTTTCACAATAAGTACTGACAAATATTTCAACAATATATATGTATTATGTATATCGTACTAGAAAAATTGTTTTTAACCATTTAATATATTTTTTATATAGATTTAAATGCGTGCAATATAGTATCTATTCCTACTAAACCTGACGACAGTGATATTATAGCACCTGATAGAATAGAAGAAGCATTTGAACTAGGTATATCTATACTATTGATATTACTTTCTAGAATAAAATAAAAAAGAGCATTAATAATTATTTAGAAAATTGTATCATATATTTATTTAGATCCAAATAAGTCTATGTATAAATTTATTTTCTGCCAATAATAATGTAGCATTATAGATAACAAACCACAAGAAGAATCTCATTTAGGTAAAATGTTATAAAATATGTTTTTATCTTTTAAATATATTAAAATAGTTTGAAAATTAATAATTTTGTAATTATGTGTTGATTTACACAGGTTCAGGTCATATGTATTTTATTTCTTCTTCAGTTTTCTATTGTAGCATTTAACAGTTACGTTAAATTAGACTTACAGAGAAAGATAATATGATATTAAATGTGTACAACTTCTAAATTATAATTCATTGATTTTTAAATTATAACTTATTTCTTCTATATATCTTTATTTATAATTTTCATTCTTAATAACTTACAATTTTCATATTTCAGTTTCATTGTACAAATAAAAAACGACAAAACGTAAAATAACAGAAACGTTAGATCAACCAAATGAAAAATATATAAAATTAAAAGAAGAAAATGTTCAATTAAAAGCATTGATTGCTTCCTTAAAAGAAAAATATGAAACGAAACTGAAAAATCAAACATTATCTTATCGACATTTAATGACAAAGAAACAGAATAGTTCGAAAAGAAAATTAAATATTATAAAGAAAAAATTAATTAGTGAAAGAAAAAAAGTTAAAACACTTAATAAGAAAACAAAACGTAAAGAAATAAAAATAAGTAAGTTAGTAAAAAAAATAAAAAATAAAGCGGTAATTAAAAAATCGCCTGGTAGCAGTTTAATATATTCACTAATATATATGATAATGAAACGATAAACAATAAAAAAAAACCAGGAGGACGACGATACACAGAAGAAATTAAGAGGTTTGCTCTTACTTTACATTATCATTCTCCAAGGGCACATGGTTATTGTAGGTCAGCAC